AGGGATTAGGGTTTTAGGGTTTCGGGTTTAAGGATTAGGGTGTAGGGTTTAGGGTTTAGAGAGATTATGTAGAAAGTATATTGGAATTATCAAGGGAGAATGAAGGAGTCATACGAGTTTACCTATTGGTATACGTTTATAGGGTAATCTTACCTTGATATTGGAGAATGAATAGGAAATCAACTGGGAACTGGAGTTTACATCCTGTTGAGGATGCAGTGCCAAGTTCAGGGCTAGATGTTGAGGGCTTAGGGCTACATGCTACGGTTTGGGGGGGTGCCCAGGGAGCCCAGCACCTCTGAACCAGTATCATCGTTTAGGGTTGTGGGCTTTAAGGAATAAGGCTTGAGGTTTAGGGTTGGTTACAGTCCTTAGGTTAATCTCATATGTAAACGCTCCTGCATCATGGCCAACAATTTGGATAGCTTGGCCGCCAGGGACATACGGTGGTTGTGGGTCCGAGCCTACACATCTAGACTCCTCCTAGCTCTGCATGCCGCGGTCCCAAAAAGGGCCCGGATCTATGTAGGGCCTATCAAATTTTGGTGGTAGTAAAGCCTGTTTAGGTACGAGTCAATCACTGTTGTAGGGAGAGGGGTCCAAATCGCCATATCTGAATGTGGCGGCCGCCCGCGTATCCAAAAACATCAGGGCTCTTGTCATGCAGGCTACGGGCTGGCGGCCATTTGGTGTTCAGACACCACCACCCTATGCCTTACAACCCCTAAATCCGAAAATCCAAAACCCTAAACCTAAGTGGTAAGTTTCCAAGACAGGGGTACCCCAATATAGACTCAAAACTAGTTGAATCCTTATCATGGGGTCCGAAAAAATCCACCTAAACCCTAAACGCTATATCCCTGTATACCCCTTCATAGCCCCTATAAAGCCACCCAAAAAGGGACCCTAAATTTTGGGAAACCACTCAGTGTATTTGTCAGAGCCATGGACCGGTCATGGTTCAGTTGCAAGCTTGCAGCCTATCCTTATTGGTTCTGAGTATCGTTTAGGGTTTTTGGGGTTTAGGGTGTTTGGGGTTTAGGGTTTTTAGGGTTTATGGTTTAGGGGTTCAGGGTTTAGGGTTTAGGGGTTTAGGGTTCAGGTAGGGAATACATTGGGATAACGGAAAAGACAATGGAAGCTACTACATTATAATAGGGTATAGATTGGGGTCATAGTGGGGAATACGGGAATACATTCTACAGCACTTTAATAGGGATTCTATTCCTTTATTCCCTACTAAGAACCAGTAAGTAGCAGGTTCAACGACGAAATGCAGATGATTGGCGTACCCAAAGACTCCAGAAATGCCACTGCTATGAAATCAAGCCCTCCAACCGCCCGAGCTCATATCATAAGCGGCATGGTGAGTCCTGACTTCAAAAGTGATGTAATACATTTACACCTTGTGGATTAAGTTGCCAGGGTCTACGTGGAAAATGTCAATTTGCCATCGGCTCTCAAGCTTGTGCGGTAGTCATAACAGTATTCAAGCGCCCACTATCATAGAGTAGCCTTCTTCATGATCTCAAGTCCTACAGTCAAAGTCCCAAATACACCGTTTTCGGGTGGCCCGAGGTTTGGAACCCTGTGTCTTGTTGGCTTTAAGTGCAGGTATGTGAGGTTTGTGTCCCTCCTTGCAGGTCCTTGCAATAAGGCTTATAGCAATTGAAGGCGTATACAGGGGACGTGCTTTTTAAAACGCCCTTTTGCTGAGATATGAGCCGTGCCTTGTGCCTCCTTGGAAAAACATGTGAGCAATCTAGGCTGGGTCCTCACCCAGAAATTGCGACCACAAGGGATCATGCTCCTTCTCCTATGTCCCCTATCTATCTGTCTATCTATCTATCTATCTATCTATCTTTGTATGTAGATATGTCTCGGTGGGGAGTGTAAAGTGTGAGAGAGAGAGAGAGAGATGTCTTATGTGCCTACAAAACCTTTGTTACTGGGTGGGGGCCTAATCCAAGGCTTGCCTGTAGAGTAAATCCACAAGTAAATCCACACAATCCTGGCCAGCGCCATGCCTCTCACAGTGTCAGTGGCCCTGATCAGTGGCAGAACCGCCTCTCGGGCAGATGTGAGAAGCTTTTCAATGCCTGCATTGTCCTTGCCATGTTAACAATGCTGAAATCATGGTAGCAAGGAAAAGCATCATGAGATTAGCAATGTCGCATTGAAAGGGCTTCCAAATCTACCAAAGGCTTCATTGGACGTAGAGTTGGACTCCACTGTTGGAGCTCTCGCGGGGCGAGCGCAGCTTGCACTGGCGGTTGGTCGCGGTCGACTTCTCAACTCCTCTGGCAGGATTCTGGACGAGGCAGCGCTCATCAAAACGGTCATCTTGCAACAGGGGGACTTCCTGACTCTGCAGTTGGGCACGGTACAGGTACATGGTGCTCCGGCAGTGTTTGCAGCCATCCTGGGCGATGGGTCTCTTGTCACATGGGGTGACAGCCGATTCGGTGGTGACAGTGATGCGGTACAGGATCAGCTGAAGTGCGTGCAGCAGGTTCAATCCAACATGTACGCTTTCGCTGCCATCCTGGACGATGGATCTGTTGTCACTTGGGGTGACGAAGACTGTGGTGGCGACAGTGCTGTTGTGCAGAAGCAGCTAAAGGATTCGGCAGCTAGAACTAGGTAGGTGCACTTGACTTGTAGGTTATGTTATAAGCCAGAAATGTAAATTTCCCCCGGCATCCAAATTACCCATGTAGGTAACAATTTGTAGACTCTACGGCTCAAAGAAATGAAGACCCCTGATTAATGAACCCCCTCCCCTTAACAGGGATTATACTAGGGATCCGAATATCAAGGCCCTGAAAACGGGGGGTTAATTAATCATGGGTTTTACATTAGGCATTGTTTAGAGACTTGCTTCCCAAATGTTATCTTGTCTAGTAGTTTTCATTTTCTTTTCCACATCCTATATAACCCCAATATGACTATAGTAGTTTCCAATTTCTTTTCCATTAATCCTATATAACCCCAATATAACTATAGTAGCTTCCATGTTCTTTTCCATTAATCCTGTATAACCCCTATATCACTACAGTAGATTCCATGTTCTTTTCCATTATCCCAATCTAATCATCTCTGGGAGGACGTACAAGCTATCCAAGCCTCTTTTCGGGCTTTTGCCGCTATCCGACGCGGTGGATCTGTTGTTGCATGGGGTGATAAGGACTCTGGTGGCGACAGCAGCTTCGTGCAACATCGGCTTCAGGGTGTGGTGCACATCCAATCCTCGGACCGCGCATTTGCAGCCATTCTGGATGGTGGATCTGTTGTCACATGGGGCGACAAGGGCTCGGGAGGCGACTGCACTGTCGTGCAAGCTAGGCTGAAGAACGTACAACAGATCCAATCCTCAGATCGCGCCTTTGCTGCTGTCCTGGACGATGGATCAGTGATTTCTTGGGGTGATGTGGATTTTGGCAGCGACAGTAGATCTGTGCAAGATCAGCTGACAGATGTAAAGCAGATCCAATCCGCTGAGCGTGCTTTTGCATCCATTCTCGGGAACGGATCCGTTGTCACGTGGGGCGATAGCAGATTTGGTGGCGACAGCAATGCCGTTCAGAGTCAGCTGAAGGGTGTGACGCAGATCCAATCCACTAGATATGCATTCGCTGCCATTCTGGAAGATGGATCAGTCATCACCTGGGGTAATGACCTGTTTGGTGGCGATAGCACGGCTGTGCGGGATCAGCTGAGGGGCGTGCGTGAGATCCAGTCCTCTGATGGCGCCTTCGCTGCCATTCGGGGCGATGGATCCGTAGTTACCTGGGGTGATAAGGAACGCGGTGGCGACAGCAGTGCCGTGCAGGATCAGCTGAAAGATGTGCAGCATATCCAGTCCACTGATGGCGCTTTTGCCGCCATATTGGGAGCCGGATCGGTTATTTCATGGGGCTTCATAAAGATCACATTTGGCCGTGGCTTTCTTGTTGACATGAAAAGTCGTGTTGAAGATCAGCTGGCGGATGTACAGCATATTCAATCCTCTGAGCGTGCCTTTGCATCCATTCTTGGTGATGGATCAGTCGTTACCTGGGGCGATAGCAGGTTTGGTGGCGACAATAGTGAGATGCAAGATCAGCTGTGGAAAGCCCGCCACATTCACTACATCTCCCGCTGCTCCAGGCTTAGGGGTTTACTGACTCAATCTTAGGGAGCCTTTATACATTTAGGGGCGTGGGATTCCCTATAGCTATGTAAATATGATCCTTTTTTCTTCCTAGGGTAATGTGGGCTAAGTTTAGGGTTTAGGCTTTAGGGTCTCAGGGCTCTGCTCCTCCTACGGTTCTATCAGAACAGGATCATGCACAACAGGGGAGGATAGTGATACATAGCATTCACCTAGACCTCCGAAATGGATACATAAGTGTCCAGAAACCAGGAAAACCCAAACAGGCGATCGCTAAACATACTACTTCTAGGGTGCAGGTGCAAGACAAAGACAAACTTGAAATTACAGCGGGCAACTGTGTTTAGGGTTTAAGGACAAGATCCTGTAGACGAAAACCATACATGACAAACAAGATGCTGCCCTGGACAGATTCTGCCTCCATAGCCCTGATATGTTCAACTTTCCAACCGCGCATTTTGCAGAAACCCCTAGTAGGTACCTGGATCCAGCATCGCTCTTCCGTTGTAAACCTTAAACCCTATACCTTAAGCCAATAGTTCTGCCGGAGTCCTAAGCCCCAGACCCCGGAAGACCATGACTTCATACGAGAGTTTTAGGGTTTAGGGTTTAGGGCTTAAGATTTAGGGTTCGGAAAGAGCCCCATCTATACCCAGACCCGAGTATGTAGTAGTTTTGTTGTGGATAGTATGTTTTGCCTCTTTACCCCCCGAGCCCATGGGTAATCAGGGTTGTTAGGAGCCCCTGTTTTGAGACACTCCCATATCTCAGCGCCGCTCTTACGTTCAGGGCTTAGGGTTTAGAGCTGCAACACAGGTTACAACCAAGTCATATCCCATAGTCTCCCATGGCAGACACAAAAGTAAAACAACTGCTTCAGAGAACATACCCCTAAACCCTAAACCCCTAAACCTAAACCCTATACGAATACCCTACCTACCTTGATCCCGAGCTTGGGGTCTTTTGCACATCGGCCCTGATAAACGAGACTGACACTACAAGCAGACGGAAAAACTAAAAATCATCTTCGCAAAAACCCTGCAACCAACACGGTTTAATGTTGCGGGCTTAGGGTAAGGCCCTATAAACCCTAAACCCTAAACCCCCCCTAATCTCAAGTCAGGAATCCTGACCCTCTACCCTTAGCCTTTGGCTCCAAACAGCCGATACCTCCAAACAGGTATCATGGAGAGACTTGAGGAACCTTAGGGTTTAGGGTGTAGAGTTTAGGGTTTAGGGGTTAGGGAGACTTGAGGGACAAACGTGAGTACTGCTCATCATCACCGAGCAGGGCTCCTATGGTATTTTGTAAAGGACTGAACATCTCTAGGGTGTAAACCCTCTAAGGCCAACAGAGCCCAATATATGCTTTGATTGAGGGTCCAAAGCAGGTATTATTTCTAGACCTAAACCCTACAGCCTAAACCCAACCCTACCCCAAACCCATATAGACTTGAATCCCCAAACCCTAAACCCTCAAAGCCCCAGTGTTAGGCGTAATTTGTAGGACTCAGAGCTACGAACTCTGGTCCACTATGCCGCCGTTTGCGAGACTGAAGAGCCTCTGGAGGCTTCGCGTAAGGGTTAGAGTATACGGTTTAGGGTTTGGGGATTGGAGTCTACAGGGTTTAGGGTAGGGTTGGGTTTAGGGTCTAGAGTTTGCGAATTAGAGTCGATAGGGTTTATAGGGTAGGGTTGGGTTTAGGGTTTGGGGTTTGGGGATTAAAGTCTAGAGGTTTCAGGGTTGGATTGGGCTTAGGGTTTGGGGTTTGAGGATCAGAGTCTATAGGGTTCAGGGTAGGGTTGGGTTTAGGGTTTGGGGTTTAGAGTCTGTAGGGTTTGGGGTATGGTTGGGCTTAATGGGCAGAAACTTGAGCGACCTAACGCGTCATCTTCCCAAAAGGTGGCTACACAGAAAGCGGCCCCAAGATAGCTGCATTTCAGGCTTCGGAAGCGACATCATGAAGCCCTAAACCCTAAGCCCTAAGATCTTGGACCCAAACCTCCCAATTCCAATCCCAGAGTCCTGCGACTTTTGCTATGGGCTCAGGGTGTAGGGTTCATGAAGACTGTTGATGCCACAAAGAGATTCCTAAACTCTAGGCCCAAATGCCTCGCATCTACAAGGGATGAAAGCCTAGGACTTAAGGTTGTACCTGGTCCCACCTTCCTCCTGACATCCTGATCTGAGAATCTCCTCCTTTTCTATGTTTCTTTACGATGCTGACTGAAGCATCCCCTCCCCACACAGTAGCTAGCAGGGTTTAGGGTTTTGGGTTCAGGATTTAGGGTCACCCTTACGAAAAACAAAGATCTGCATTGCAGAGATGCATTGGTAGCGGGTGGGGTGCTTGCGGGGAGAGGGCACTATATCATTTGTAAACCTGTGGTCCCTTTGCATGGGGTCTGTGCTTTTGAGACCTGGAGAACAGATAAAGAGACCCCAGCAACCAGATTAGAGTATTTCCACGAAAGGTAAGACATTCAGGATGTTGTGCCATTCTCGGAAATTGTAATGGCATGTCTCCACTCTGTGGCTTAGTTTCGGCGTCCTAGGTCTGAGCGCAAGAGCCGATGCACGCGGTTTTGGGGTTGCGAAGTACTACGGTTCATGGATGAAATTCTACACCACTTGAAGTCCCTACAGCCCAAGGAATTACAGTAGTTTAGGGGCTCTAAGTGGTGCAAGATTTCCTCCATCAACAGTATGTTGCAATGAATAGCATTGTATGCACTGATGCTACTGTACCTCATAGTGAAGAGGTTTTGTTCGAATCCTCACCTTATTTTACGCAGCCGCGTACAGTGACCCTTACTGTGGATGGAGGACTTCCGCTACGCAGCTTTTAGTTCCATTTTGTATTCTGGGCCTTCAGGACCGGGGTAAGCAAAAAAGGGACCCTAATTTCGACAATCCTTCGCATGGAGCCCAGCTAGCCCTTGCAGCCATAAACAAACCCTAAGGGTCCAAGGACCCAAACAATAGGTTTAGGGCCCAAGTACTTTAATATCAATGGTAGTTGGGCCCTGAAACCCTATATTTTGGGTCCTTGGACACTTAGGGCAAGCAGTCCACAAGCATCGGAAGGTTCTCCTCAGTTCCGGAATGTCGCCCCATCGCGCAGACGCGCATGGGCTCACAGCGCTCATGTTGGCATGCATGGCAAACCGGCCAAGGTGCACGATGGGGTTTCGGGCTTGGGTAGGTTCAGGTTGTAGGGTTCAGGCTTCAGGCATGAGGGTTACGGGTCAAGCTAATGGTAGTTTCCCCTAATAATGGGACCCCAATGTAGACCCCAAACCATAAACCCTAAACCCCAAACGCAAATTTCCACAACCCTTATCATGGGGCCCCCCAAGATGGTACCCCTAATTTTGGAAACTTCCATATTGGTTTGGGGCTTCATGGGTCAACCTTGACCAAAACCGACCAAGGAGCGTGAACTTGTTCGGAGAGGCTTTGGTTTGGC